AAGATTTGAATTTTGGTTATCAAAATAATCAATTAAACAAAAAGTGATAGAAGAGAGAAATTAGTGATAGAAATAGTGATAGAAATTAAGATTACTGATGTATGAAATAGTTTGTAAATAATAAAATAATATTAGGGCGAAAGACTTGTGCCCCTGGTTGATACAGACGATGTGCGGCTTATAAACGCAAGGTACTTCATTTTAAACTGAACTAAACACAGAACATAAGAGACCTTGAGGAGTCAAAGAAAGGCAAGCAGATAATGCCCTTAAAGGCTAGAACACACATACCAGGAAACACAGGGGAGGACATGGGATAGAAACAGAGACAGAGGGGAAGTGACGGACCAAAGGGGGCACCTTTAATGGCGCGTGACATGCCCATTCATCCAGAAAAGCACTAGTGAGGTCAGGCTTCTTCTCAACCTTAATCTTCTTGGCCTTGAACTCAAAGCTGCAAGCAGAACACCTGAATTCAATTATTACGAGGTGTGTCCCAATACTTTTGCCCATATAGTGTACAATACATCACCTCAAACAGCTGCTTCAGTCCACTTGTTTCAAAACAAAAATGAACATATAGGCAGCTTCGTAGGATAGTACGAAAAACCCCACTGCCAATAAACTGCAATACGATACACTCAGATCGACAGGTTTCCCATTACCATTCGTAAGGTGGTCTCCCAGTCAGTCACCCAGGAGACTGAGTAATGCAACAAACACTTTTAATATAACTAAAACACAAAAGTCAATCTAAAACTTATAATCTTTGTCCGCCATGTCGAGGGCCCAGGCAAATTTTTCACGTTGGGTCTTGTTGTAAATCTTCTCAATGGGCACGTTCCACTTCTTACACCTGGGGAAGACAGACACAGCAGCTCTATCAGGTCGTGAAGGTAGAGTCTTCAACATTCTCTGTGTTTACACTCTGTGCCCAACCAGAGCTTAAGAGACCTGTTGTAACCAGTACAAGGAGCAACAGCATATGAGAACAGAGTCTGCCATTTACTAGTGCAGCAATATTCCCTGACCAGAGAGCAGCACAGCTAAGAAAAGCACCCCCTTCAGGAAGCTCCCCACAAACAAAGGCCTCTCAGAAAGCCCTTTCTCACCATGCCACGGAGATGCGGGGATCAGAGTAGTTCAGCTTGAAGGTGCCCAGAGCGATGTGCTTGTTCTCCTCACGGTCCGTCACCTGAACCATGAGCTTCCACAGCTGTTCCTCTATCCTGTGGACCACTTTCCTTTTGGACTCAACGGGCTCTGATAGGAAAAGGGGAAGTCAGGGCTCTAGGCTAAAACGCCACTACGAAAACCAGAGGGTGTGATTTCCCCCGAGCGGAGACCCTTACTTTCTGGTTTTTTCATCCTTCCACACCTTGGCGTCCACCTTGGCTCTCTTCAGCTCCCATTTGGCTTCTAAGAGCCGCTGCTTTTTTGCATCAGTCTATGGAGTATTATAAATGAGAGCTCAGACTGCTTCTCTGCTCACACCCTCAGACATGGCTTTTTATCCCACACAAATTCTGTTTGTCATTCGACGCCTTCACATTACAGCAGATCGTTATGCTCTTCACACTCCACTTACCTTGGTTTGCAGGTTCTGCATGGACTTCTCATAAGTCTTGGTTGGTGCCCTCTGGTGGTTGCACGGGATCGCCGCAGCCCGGTTGTAGGAAAGGATCTTAAGAGGAATGTTATCCTCCACTGAAAGTCAAAAGGTCATCAAGTTCAGATTTAGTTCTCTCAATGTCCTATCACGCCTTACCACTGATAGGACCATGTGATGGCCCACATGCTAATGCCACTGTCAAGCCCCTCTGCTAGAATCTATGACAGTATTACTCTTCTGGACACTGCCCACCTCCCAATTCCCAAAAGAGGGGCAAACTCACGAGTGGTGGGCTGCTTCAGCTGCCGCTGCAGGGTGATGGATGCATTATAGGTACGGAAGACTTTGCCTGTCAGTCCGTCCATCAGCTCTTGAAGATAAAATATGCATTTAGCTGCGCCATAAATGGTAGAAATAAGTCTGGCAGAGACATTTAAGACTGATGAGGACTGTGCACACATCTCCTGAGGCCCACTTCACCTTGTCGATGAAGTACAGCGCCACAGAGCGCTGGCGGATCCACATCTCTCTGGACTTCCAGTCCTCACGGTACTGGTTTCGGATGCGCTCCACACACATCTTGAGCCTCCGTGCAGTTTCGTACTTCCTGTCCATAGGGAGAGAAGGACTGGCAGAAGGTCAGAAGTCATATGAGTGTCACTGGGTCACAGAGAATGAGGAGTCAGAAACAAGGTGGGTTTAAGATACGCATGCACACGCGCACACACACACGCACACACACGCCTTGATGCGAGAACTGGGGTTCAGCATGATGTACTTCATGGAGCCCTGGATGTTCTCCATCTATGATGCCAGCCACGTCACCTTCTTGTCGAGACGCACCTCCTTCCACTTGGTTCCCGGAGGTGGCTTGGGGATATCAGAGTCCCTGGGACAGATTGGGATGTTAAAGGTAGTGACACAGACAGGTAATACCTACTGAGGAGGCCTAAAAGCCCTGCTCAAAACCCCACTAGCTTCACCACATAGATAACAGAAGGCCGGCCATGCCCCCTTTCACTCACTTGCTGCAGTTTATAATGACATCCTCGGGCTGGACCCGGCGTTTCAGCATGCCCATCTTGGGGTGGTGACCATGGCCGCAGAACAGGCCAGGCGGCTCGATGTGGAAATTGGCAATGCGCTCTTTGTGGTTGTCCATGACGCAGAAGCCGTACTCTTGGAGGACCAGCTCATTCTCTTTCTTGATTCTCTGCAGGAAAATGTTATGGAGAGAAGGGAAAGGGTTAGCGAGGCTATAGGGAGGAGGGACACAGGTTAGTTTCATGTTTGCCTGGACCAGTTAAGAGCTACTGCAGCTATACATTTACATGAAGCAATCGCAGTGAGCAAAGCCACCCAGCTATCGCACCTGCTTCTCCTCTTTCGATATCTGCTTCTTGGCCTCTAATTGAGCCTTAAAGTACTTGTTCATCTCTCTGAAGTCGCACTTCTTCAGCTCTGTGATTTTCGCCTTCTCTTCTGATGTCATTTCCTTAACATGGACAAAGAACATGGATATTGGTGCTTAGTTACTGGTTTCCCTTTCCTTTACATTATACATGACCACAACAAATGTTCACAGGCAGATTCCTCTCACCTTCCTCCAGTCCATGAAGAAGTTCTTACGAAAGATGTCCTTGGTGGTGTACTCATGGTCCAGCATTTTGGCAAAGAATGTGGCCACCTCCTCAGCATTGGGGCTGAGTTTCATAGGTTTTCCTTGGAGGAGACTCAACATGAGCATTCACAGGCAAACATTCTGATTTCATAGAAGGCTCTATTATGGACTATCAAGTATACTCCCAAAGAAAGCCCAAAAACACCTCTCCAGGAAGAAATAAAGTAGGGCTGGGACGATTGTTCGATGTAATCGACAATGACAATTATAAAAATACGTCGATGTGGAATTTTAGTGTCCACGCGTTGTGTAAAACTAGGTAAATGTTTTGTAACTGCAATGCACAAAGTGATAAGCTGAATGTATTGTAAGGGAAAGTACTTTATCCTCTCGGGAGCATGTTAACGCTGTCCTTTTAAGAATCGTGCAATAAACAGTCTGCTAATAACTGGACTTTACTGTCCACCTGATCTCTTCGCCACTCGAGAGCTACAATATCTTATGTATTGGACCTGCGGCATGGTTTTCATTTACAATACAAAGTTATTCCGCTAATAAGCTGGCTAGTTATTTCACTGCTGGTACCGTTAAAACTATATCAATTATAGACTGAATTCCGATATAGTTTTGTCTAATATTTGCCGCCCGCCCTGCCCCCTCGCGCATGAGGCAGCTTGGCTGCGTCTACCAGCAGAGCTCCGGAGCCTCTGGAGAAACACGCGGCAAGAAAGGCTCGCACACGGTCTTCCAAAGTTTGGGGATACTTCAGTCATGACACCTTTTCTGCACCTCCACTGTAGCTGACGTTAATGATGCTGTTTCAGCCATTTTATATTTTCTGTTTACTTATTCTGCCATGTAAGAGTGAGACAAATAATTGTTTACGACTACTCTTACACACTGTAGCCTAAATTGTTCCTTGCTCACTGAAGTAAGCTTAACTTAAATGTTTCTCTAGTTATGAAATGTTTTAGCATCTATTTCACCATTAAAGTCAAATTGGTATACTGAAATAATTAAGTAAAAACTCTTGCAGTGATTATTAACTTCAGTCTAACATAGAAATCCTATTGAATCTCTTAAGATTTGCCTTTTTTGTTCATAATGCTCCAATGTTTAAGAAATGTTTTAATAAACTGAAATGTTAATGAGAATTTCAGATGTGTGTGTGGGGAGGGGGTGAATTGTATTAAATGACTAACTTGAAAATAATTGCTTATCAATAAATTTAACATCAGATCAATCGAAAAATTAGTTGTTAGATTAGTCAAATAATCAGAAAAATAATCACTAGAATAATCGTTTAAAGAATAATCATTTGGGACAGCACTAAAATTAAGACAGAAAATGAGAAAGAAACATCCATACCATCATAGTAGAACTTGACATGGTCTGGGAGGGGTTTGTAGAGTGGTGCAAACACTGGGCCCTTGTGTTCCAAACACTTCCACTTAGAGCCATCAATGTTCCTCTCCTCTTCCCACCTGGTGAAAAATGAGGTGGTCAGTAGGGTTGATACTTTTAAAACGGTACCGGTGCCAAAACGGTGCCTGAACCGATACTTTACAAAAGCCACAAAATGATGGTGGATGACTCAAGAATACATTTTTATTGAACAAAAAATTAAATGCTTAAAATTGAACAATATATTAAAAGTTTAAAGTATATATGAATATATAAGTAAATACAAAAAACAACAACAACAAAACATAAGCCACCTAACCCAACTACAATAACTAAACCACTTCAAATATTAGACAATATGGGAAGACTGTCCCGCTTTCCCCACCACCAAGCTACAGGGTCTTGTCCTGATGAGACTGAAGGTAGACCTTGGTAGATTTTAATCTCATTATGGGCCTGTTCAGCTTTGGTGATGGCACCACTTCTTGAGGTTGTGGCTGCCTGAAGTAACTCTCGGTCCTCATCCTCAAACAGCTCTTCTAGGGATGACTTCTTGGCCCACTTCTTGTGATATGGAGACTGAAAAAAAAGAGAAACTTGCTTCAAAAATGTATTTATTTTAAATAGTTTATTTCAATATTACTTACATGTTCTTCTGCATTCAGTGACTTGTCCTCCTGATGCTCATCCAATGTATCTTCAGATTCTTCCTCGATGTTGTGCTCCATTGGAAGCTGCAGAAATGATGTTGCACATATAAACAGCAATACTTTGTTGTAGAAACTGTAACATGGCATACATGGGAAATAAGACTGAGCATAAAATACCTGTTCTGCTGTTACATTGCAAACTGCTGCTTTCTCCAACCGGCCCCAAGCATCAGCAACAACAGCACATCCAAGTTTGCCTTTGAAGCGAGGGTCCATCAAGGTGGCCTCCTGGAGGAAGTTCTTAATGTCTTCATCCTGTAATAAAACATGACAAACTATTTAGTGTTTTACAGTTAAAATTACGTAATTTGCCTTCCTTTCTTTTTTAAGCATAAGCTCTTAATGAAAATGAAAAATACCTGATATCGTTTCTCCAGATCTCCCCAGACTTTCTCTTTCAAAGTACAGTACTGGCAAACACAGTGTCCTGTTCAGCCACTGTAAAATGCTCCTCCAGCTTAGTCAGTATGGGAAGAATTTGGCCACATGTGGGAGACTTCTCACTGGATACACAGAGGGTTGAGGTGTACAACAGCTTCATGTTTTTAACAAAATCCTCTGCTTTCTGGAAGTCACCATCTGTGAGTCTTTCCAGTCTGGGGCAAAAAAGAAAATATTAAGATAAGAATAAAAAAACAACTATTGCTGTTCCTTGTTTCACAACTGATCTTTTTGTCTATTACTTGTCTTTCTCCATTAGCTTCCTGAGTCGTTGGTCAAGTGATGCTGCCTGGATGGCTGGGTACTGCTCTAAAAATCTCTCCACCATCAAGAAAAGGGAGTTCCACCGTATTTTGACATCCAGAATCATGTTATGCTGTGGCAGATCTGAAACACAAATGCAAATTTTGAATTACAATCTACAAGAATATGTGTAAAACAAACATTACTTTCTGAGATATATAATGACTATGCTACTTACTGAGAAGTTGCTGCTTCTCCCGCAGCACAATCTTTGCCATGGAGGACCTCCTCAGCCACACTACAATCGATCGAAGTCTGACACACCACTTTGTAATAGCACTGATGCTGTAAACCTTCTGTGCGGTCAGGTTTAGGGTGTGGGCAAAGCACCCCACCTTTAAAAGCTTAAGATTCTTCAGTGCAACATCCATATTGCTGGCATTGTCTACTGTGGCAGCTACAACTTTAGTGTTTATCTGGAATTCCTCTAGAATGCAATTTATCTCGTCTGCCACCATGAGGCCTGTTTGTGACTTTGGTGTTTAGCACTTTTTGCTTAATGTGGCCTTCACTGGTGTAGTGCACAGTAACTGTTAAATAGTGGTCCTGTGCCACACTGGTCCACCCATCACATGTGATAGCAGCCTTACTCACTTGTGCTAAATCCTGAATAACATTTTGTTTCTCAACAGAGTACCATGCAGGAATAAGAGTGCTGGACAAATAATCTCTGGATGGGGGTCGGTAGCGAGGATTAAGGGCAGCAGTCATCTCCCTAAAAATGATTTTTTTTATTGATTAATACATTTTTGGACTAATTTAATATATATACTATATATTTATAACATAATAATATATTTTAAAAAATAAATATATAAACCTATATACCTAAAAAAATAATATATATATATATTACCTGAAACATGGGGATTCCACAGTGGAAAAGGAATGCAGTCCCTTGACCACAAATTTGGTCACAGCCCTGTGGAGTTCCTCCACCTTCTCCTTAGTCAAATTAGCCTTCTTTGCAATGGTAAATGGGGTCACTGTTGTAGTACTACTAGTACTAGCTGGAAAGCCATAATTATAAGCAGAATCCATGTTACATTAGTATTTAACAAATCGTTTGACCATTTGTTAGCATGAATGCAAGATTTGCATTTTGTAATTAACATTACATTAGCCTACTACTAACCTGCGGAAAGCCTGCTGTCCTCAACATAATCGGTGGACTCCTTTTTGCTACGGTTGGTATGACTGGGGCTGGGGTTATCCACACCGATAGTGCCAGCTGTTGTCCGCAAGCTGTCAAACATAGTGCATCCCTCTGTTTTAAAATGAATTCCGTGTGCCCTCAAATGTTTCATCAGATTTGACGTGTTTCCCCCTTTACACGCAACTGCTGTAAAACATTTGCTGCACGTCGAGGTGTCAGAATCCTTTTTTTTTAAATATAGCCACACTTTCGACCGTTTAATTTTAGGCATTTTAAGTAAGGGATAATGTACAGGCAGCCGGTAGTTATCGCAGAAATAAGCCCCGACGCGAAGCTTATTACACGGCTACTTGCCACATAAGGAAAAAAACTAGACATGAATATGAATTTGAAACATTTT